ACTCTCACCCTCATCCTCCCACCCCCACACGCCAACCTCCGTCACCTCCTCCTCCTCCTCACTATCACCTCCTTCGCCGATCTCCTCCTCCTCCTCCTCCTCCTCCTCCTCCTCCTCCTCCTCCTCCTCCTCCTCCTCCTCCTCCTCCTCTTGACCTCTCTCAGCAGTGTGTCGGTCACTCCTTGCCAACCGCATCGAGCAAGGTCGATCGCTTGTCCTGAGCTCCCATCCCAGCTGTCCCTCACTTCAGCGCAGGCGCGAACATCCACCCTCGAGCTGGTGGAGCTGCTGGAGGAGAACGACTTGTGGATGGATTACGACGTGCTGAAGGGCATGGGAGTGCGGAAGGTCTGAGAGGGCGAGGACGAGGACGAGGACGAGGAGGGGGGAGGACGAGGACGAGGACGAGGACGAGGAGGGAGGAGGAGGAGGAGGAGTGAGTTTACTCGGATCAGGTGGAGGATCTGCTTCACATCACAGGCTCTCATCTTGACAGCATGGCACCAGTGACGGCGAACAAAGTTCGCAGGTGGGAGGATCAGGAAGAGAGTGAGAGCTTGAGGGTACGTGACTTGTCGACAGGCTGCAAGCCTTGCTAGAGCACAAGGAGGCATCTCAGGTTGTGACCTGGACAGGTGAAACGCTGTTGCTCTCTTGTCACAGATTTTCACCACCACAACCATTATCATCATCATCATCATCATCATCATCATCATCATCATCATCTCCATCATCAACATCATCTCCATCATCATCTCCATCATCATCATTATCATCATCTCCATCTCCATCTCCATCGTCGTCGTCGTCGTCCTCAACCTCCTCCTGTTCTCACCCTCACCTTCTTCGCTTGGCGTCTCATCATTGTATTGCTTCTCTCACCTCCCTCCCGCTTCTACTCCCGCAGCCGATCAGCGGACTCCTCATCCCCTTCCCACGCCAGATGTCGCAGCCAACAGGAGCAGCTTGCTTCCTTCAGAGCTCTTCTCCCTGCAGGACAGACAGACAGGCAACGCAGGTCTACCCCTCGACCCCCATCACCATCACTATGCTCCTCCTGCTCCTCCTCCTCCCTCTCTCCCTTCCTGCTCCTCTTCCTCCCTCTCTGCTCCTCCTGCTCCTGCTTCCTCCTCCCTCCCTTTCTCCCCACTGCTCTCTCCCTCCCTGCTCGTGCTCGTGCTCCTACTCCTGCTCCTCCCTTCCTGTTCTCCTTTCCGTTCCTCCTCTTCCTTCCTGTTCCTCCTTCCCCCGTCCTTTCTCTTTTTCTTTCTCTTCTCCACCCCTGTTCTTCTTCTCTTCACTCTATTCTCTTCTCACCGTCTGTTTGCCATCAGCCCCGCACAGTTCTCGCCCCAAGAGCGCGTCCAAGTGAGTGTCATTTCCTCCCCGTATCCTCCTTCAGCTGTGATTTCCTACCTTGCCACACATTCTCTTCCTCTCTTCTCCTCTCTTCCCCGGCCCCTGCGCCCCCTCTCCCCCGCGAGCAAACAACTCTGCCTTTCTCACCTCTTGCTCCGCTCACCCCCTTCTCTTCTGTCTACCTCCCCCTACTCTCCTCCTCCTTCTTGTCCTCGTCCTGCTCCCTCCATTCGCTCCTCCTTGCTTTCCTCCTCCTCCTCCTCCTCCTCCTCCTCCTCCTCCTCCTCCTCCTCGCTCACTTTCTTCTCAGGACGGAGATGGCGGTCGAAGCGATCGGGAGGGCGCTCAAGGTTCTCGGTCAGGTGCTCCACTGCCCTCCTGCCACCTCCCTGCCCTCACCTGACCCTCCTGCTAGTCGGACAGCAACGGGGAGAACATCAGCGACGACGTTCGCTCCCGGCTGATCTCCATGCTCCTGACCCCGAAGCCCTGAGGTGGCAGTTGAAAGAAAGAGGGAGAGGACGAGCAGGAGGAGGGCGAGAGGAAAGTTTCAACTTCATCTGAGGTTTTGAGAATATTGCTGACCCGCACAAGCCCTGTTGGTAATGGACTACAAATACGAATGTGAAGTGAAACCCCCAAGAGGTCAGAGCAGGCAAGGTGTCAGCAGCACCCTACATCAAGTTTCATTCTCACTTCTGTGTTTTGTCTGAGTGAGAATTGTTCAAAGATGCACTTCAATATCACAAATCAGCTTGCATTGCATCTTGTACATCCTGCTCAAGCATGCAAGCAACACACGCTTCCTCCTCTTCACGATCGTCGGATCGCCTTTGGCAAAGGACGCCGAAGACCGAAGTTTTCAAGACGCTCAACGATCCTATCTTGGATCTCTGACTTCCAAGGGTCTTCATCATCCTCGTAGCCGTGATCGTATCCCACGTACCACAAGTTGTACGCGGGTGCTCCGTTGTTGTTCTCCAGAGGGCGATCGTTCTCCGTCAGCCGCCCAGCAGGGTAGATGTGCCCACAAACCTCGTGGTCAAGGCTGAACTCGCGCTCCGGTTCCGCCTTGTCCTTGTCCACGTCCATGATGAAGTTGTGGAGGAGGAGGCATGTGAGGATCATGTTGCAGATCAGGTTGTAGTCGTCCAACTTCAGCCGCCGCCACAGGATCGGCCATCGTCTCACCACCATCCCGAACGCTCGCTCGACAGGCGCGCGAGCGAGGGAGAGGTGATAGTTGAAGCTCAGCTCGTACTCGCTCAGCTCCGAACCCTCGATGGGCGTCAGGACACCTGATTCGCGGTCGTACTCCCCATCGCCCACAATGTACCTCCCGTCCAGCTTCTCGAGCCTCGCGTCCAGCTCCATCCCCAGCTCTCCTAGCGCCCAGGCGTCGGGGTAACAGGAGGCGCAGGGGACGACGCGGCCTACAAGGAATCTTCCAGATGCATCGGTGACGGCATGGAGTTTGAGGGCGAAGCCGCCGTTCCTCGACTTGTAGAGCTCGGCAGACTGAGCAAGCTTGCCCTCGATGGACTGCAGGTTGATCAGCATGTTGTCGACGGCCCCGATGCATCTGTCAAAGATGCCGTGCGGTGAAATCTGTGCGAACCCTTGCGATATCGCGTCCAGCTCCTCGACGTCGTCAAGGTCGGGGCGGACGATTTGCAGGGAGGGGCAGAAGAAGAAGGTTTCTATCACTTCCTTCCTCGACCTGACGAACGCTTCCTCCGTCACTTGATGGAACCAAATAATGTCCATGGTCGGCGCTCCTGCCATCCATCGCAACGTCATGGACACCTTCTCATCCACTGTTAGATCCTCAAATAATTCATCCGTGACCCCCTTGGCCGTACTCCAGCGGTAGTCGGGGAGGATCACTTCGATGAGACGATGGAAGGCCTTTCTAGACATGCGGTAGAAGACGCGGAACTGGAAGTCTGTGATCGACTGGCTCCAAGCCAACCAGTCAAAGTTCCTCTCCTCCCTCTGCTCGTCCTCCAAAGACGTATGCATGAACTTGCTCTTGCGCCTCACAGCTCTAGGAAGTACGGTGCGGCTCTGGGGGTCGTCAGAGGAAGAGCGGCTATCGTCGTCAGACGGAGGGAGAGTGGTGGGAAAGGCAAGCTTCCTCTTAGTCGCCATGTTCAACGAGTTGAAGGGACGGGGAGAGCACGAGGATCTTGAGCTAGGATGTGATGAAGGAGGAAGAACGCGTCCTGTCGCTGCGAGACTCAGGCAGCAGTCTGGCGGCAGTGGGAGGGCAGGGGAGGCGGGGGCGAACGGGCAGTTTGGCGGGAACAGCCCTAATTCAAATTTTGTCTATCGGGAAGTCACCGAGTCTGTCGGAACTCGCTCCGAGGCTCAGTCGCCCGGCCGGGCCGGGCCAATGCCGGGGCCCGGGCCCGGGAATTCGGAACTCCGGGAGTCAGATCTATCATTCACGCAAGGGGTTGAGGCCAAGTCGTGTATGGGCGTTATTGACAAGTGTATCGGTGCTCTAGATGGTATGATTGTCAGGCTTCAATGTGTTGAAGGAACACACTGTGACAGCAATTCAGGGCTGCAAGATACTTCACACGAAAGGGATTGTTCGCCTTGAACATTCAAGCTGTATGTGACGCTAATCCGGGCAGCAAGCTCTTGCCAGTGTGGTACAGCTTTGAGCATCCCGGGAGTACTCACGATAGTCTTGCATTCACCCGAGGTATGCTTAGGTTCGAACTTGAGAGCAAGTGTCCATTGCCGGAAGGCATGGACTTTCGTGATTACACAGCAACCACAATCACCTCATGCGTACTGCCCTGGTGCGGAGGATGCAGGACCTAAACCCGGTGATCTTTCGCCGTCCTCCTGTACGGTGATCGTGGTTTCCTGTCGTTTTTTGTCCGCATGGCGTGCATGCCACTTACGCTTCTGCTGTTGCAATTCAATTTCTATAATATGCCGCACGTCACTTGGCAAGTCATGTCCACGAAGTACCCGTGTCATCTTGAGGATCTGAGATACCAACAAGCTATTTGTCCGCAGAGCGACCTCTTCCTGCCTGGCCATGGACTCAATTTTCCTTTGATTGCAAGAAGGCATCGTTCACAGATCCAGTAATTTGCCGAATCCTTCGATCTTGTTCGTCGCCAGTATCCGCCCTCTCTTCCTACCTTGCCTTCCTCTGATTTGCTTCGTTTCTGAGCCTTCTTTGGCACTATAGATACAGAGTTTGGCATAGAAGCGGATCCACCAGCCTCCACGAGTAGCACTCCGAACCACGACAGAAGTTGTGTTCTAGAATCTCGTTCCCTTCACCTCTGCACATATGCGTCTGTAACTTGCTGGTCGGATCAAGAGGAACAAACAAACAGCACACACTGTGTCTCCTCTGTCGTTTGCATTCTCCACCATGATGCCTATCGTGCTGGGAAGGCGGGAAAAGTTGCCACCCCACTGAGGTCGGGCAACAAACATAACTGTAACTGTAATGTAACGGAAGGTCTGTTAGGTCCCCTCAGAGGGCATTCGTCCGTTGAACTCCAGGCTGAGGATTGAGAGGGGGGTAGGGTGGTGATTGGAGTACGAAGGGGTTATGTCAAGTACCAGCATTGTTGCAGTCAAAGGTACCCCTAGTTTGCAATAATGAGGGGGTGGGGGTTTCATGAGTGGTATACAGAGGAGAGGGGTAGGAGAGGACCGAGAGAATGGTGTGGGGGCACTTGGGGGGATCGAGGAAGGGAGTGGGGTGGGGCGAGCGGCAGGAGGAGGAGGGAAGTTCTACTACGGGAGGAAGGGTGAGACACCCTGGAACCAGGACCTGTCCTGGAGGACAGCCATCTCCTCCGATGCGGCACTGCTGAGAGCATCGAAGAGCAGGACAGCTGAAGCGATGAAGCAGCAGAGGCAGCGGAGGAGAGATGGGCTGGTGGTGGCTGGAAGGAGCATGGAGGGTTTGGCAGCATTTGTGAGTGGTGTGCTGAAGCGAGGAGGGTACGCGGTTGGGACGGTAGAGTACGTGAAGAACGGCCTGCGTATAGCAGAAGAGGAGAGGGGAGGAGTGAACTCAGATAGTGAGGAAGGGGAAGGGAAGGAAAGAGCATCGATAGAAGAAGAGGACAAGAGTGGAGGGGTAAGGCTGGACTATAGGCAGCAACGAATGGCGGAGCAGGCAGCAGCAAACAGCTCGTGCTTGGTCCTGGTGGTCACGGAGGATCTGAGCCCGGAGACCGATGAGAGTCTCCTACTATTCTACTCGCTGGCGCTGGGGAATCAGAAGCCGATCCTGGTGGTGACGTTTTCCAGCTCGGTCCAGGTCAAGTTCTCAGCTGGGACCATCTTCGGGGACAAGGTGCATCAGTTGGAGTCGGAGCTGGCCGTGGTGGACCTGAGCATGTGCGAAGTGAAAAGCATGCTCAACTATGCGCTGAGAGAGATGTGCTCTAAGAAGATACTGCTGGCCCTGGAGCGAAGGCTGAAGGTTTCTCCTGGTGGGCTGTACACAGGACAGTTCTCCTCACTTGGACAGCACCAGCTACAGGGCCAGGAGAGCGATCCAGAGTCCTCCCGTCCTTCTACAGCAACCCTGAAGGGGATGAGGACAAAGGGTGAGGATGGGAGAGATTGAGATTCAATTGCTGCTGCTCCTCCTTCATCTCTACCTCTCTGCGCCTCCTCCTTCATCTCTACCTCTCTGCTCCTCCTCCTTCATCCCTACCTCTCTGCTCCTCCTTCATCTCTACCTCTCTGCTCCTCCTCCTTCATCCCTACCTCTCTGCTGCTCCTCCTTCATCCCTACCTCTCTGCTGCTCCTCCTTCATCTCTACCTCTCTGCTCCTCCTCCTTCATCTCTACCTCTCTGCTCCTCCTTCATCTCTACCTCTCTGCTGCTCCTCCTTCATCTCTACCTCTCTGCGCCTCCTCCTTCATCTCTACCTCTCTGCTCCTCCTCCATCTCTACCTCTCTGCTCCTCCTTCATCTCTACCTCTCTGCTGCTCCTTCATCTCTACCTCTCTGCTGCTCCTCCTTCATCTCTACCTCTCTGCTCCTCCTCCATCTCTACCTCTCTGCTCCTCCTTCATCTCTACCTCTCTGCCGCTCCTCCTTCATCTCTACCTCTCTGCTCCTCCTTCATCTCTACCTCTCTGCTCCTCCTTCATCTCTACCTCTCTGCTGCTCCTTCATCTCTACCTCTCTGCTCCTCCTTCATCTCTACCTCTCTGCTCCTCCTTCATCTCTACCTCTCTGCTGCTCCTCCTTCATCTCTACCTCTCTGCTGCTCCTCCTTCATCTCTACCTCTCTGCTCCTCCTTCATCTCTACCTCTCTGCTCCTCCTTCATCTCTACCTCTCTGCTGCTCCTCCTTCATCTCTACCTCTCTGCTCCTCCTTCATCTCTACCTCTCTGCTGCTCCTTCATCTCTACCTCTCTGCTGCTCCTTCATCTCTACCTCTCTGCTCCTCCTTCATCTCTACCTCTCTGCTGCTCCTTCATCTCTACCTCTCTGCTGCTGCTGCTCCTCCTCCTTCATCTCTACCTCTCTGCTGCTCCTTCATCTCTACCTCTCTGATCCTCCTCCTTCATCTCTACCTCTCTGCTGCTCCTCCTTCATCTCTACCTCTCTGCTGCTCCTCCTTCATCTCTACCTCTCTGCTGCTCCTTCATCTCTACCTCTCTGCCGCTCCTCCTTCATCTCTACCTCTCTGCTCCTCCTTCATCTCTACCTCTCTGCGCCTCCTCCTTCATCTCTACCTCTCTGCTGCTCCTTCATCTCTACCTCTCTGCTGCTCCTTCATCTCTACCTCTCTGCTCCTCCTTCATCTCTACCTCTCTGCTGCTCCTCCTCCTTCATCTCTACCTCTCTGCTCCTTCACACCCATCACACGCCCTCTCGCTCCAGCAGCACTTCAACACATCCTGCTTCCTCCTCCCCGACCAATGCTCCTCCTTCTCCTTCTTTCACCCCCGCTCCCTCCTCTATGTGTTTCCTTGTCCCCTCTCCCTTCTCCCCCTTTTCGTCTTCTTCTCCCTCCCTTTCACTCCCTTTTCCTTCTGTTTCCTCTGCTTGCCTCTGGAACCTGCAAAAAACTTCATCAACTTCCTTTCCTGCCTCCTGCCTCCTGCCTCCTCCCTGATCTCACATGCTGGCCCTGCAGATTCTTTCCCGTCGCTGGTTCCCTCTCGCTCCTCGTCGCAGCCGCTGGAACCCTCCCGCTGGATCTCCCCTGAGGTATGAATCCTCTCCGACCCTTGCGCACCTCCCAGCAAGAGACCAGCAGGGGCTGATGGAGTTTGTGCCGCAGTCTGAGAAGCCACGAGGACAGAGCGAGCCTCAGGGAGTAGGAGCTGAGAATCAAAACAACTCCCAGAATGATCAGCACCAGCACCAGCACCAGCAAACGAAGGGCAACAAGCATCTCAGCCATATCCACCTGGTACCGACGACCCTGCACGAGTACGTGAATCGCAACAGGTCGGAGGACCGAGTGTATCCTTCAGTCTTGCAGGAAGGCTTCCTCCGGCAAGTTCCGAGGTCCACTCCCCTCCCTCCTCGCCCCTCCACCAGAGCCTCGAGCTCCACGCGCAGCCTCGAGCCGGTCAGACATGACGATCTTCCTCAGTCGAAGCTCAAGTTGGACCTGAGCAGCCTCGGGCTGGCGGGGGATGCGAGGGGGGGGAGGAGGACGAAGGCTAGAATGGAGTGATAGGGGTGTTCAAAGGGAATGACTAGAGGTCGGGGAACTCAACGAACGAGATAGGACGGAGGAGGAGGAGGAAACAAGTCTCATGACATGCTTTCATGCTTTCCGTGAGCTTTCATTTAATCTTCCTGTGCAAAACAATCTACATGATGGAAGTACCAATATACACAACAAGAGCTGGCCTGAGTTCGTGAAATAGTCCTCCGCCTCCTTTCCCTTCTCATTCCTCCATCTTCGCTAGGACGTCTCCACCTCTTCCTCCTTCTACAGACAGGGGGGGTAGACGCCCTGCTGTCCAGGAAAAAAAGTTCGTGATTCGCCGAATTTCAAAATGAACTGCAGATGAGATTGACGCTCCTGGCCTGGAACAAGTCCACGAGGCTGGAGAAGAGAGACCAGGAGGGCACAGCTCGGTATCCTACACTCCACTCCTCTTAGCGCGACTGAGACTTGCGCAAGTACCCCAGCAGCATCTTCGGAATCTTCGGAGGGTCGACAGAGCCCTGCACATCAAGGCTGTCAGCTGGGGGCGAGCAGGAGTGCAGGGAGAAGCAAAGTATCACCTTTGACTTCCCGCTCTCAGACCCGCTGCTCGCGTTCTCGCCGTAGAGATCATCTGCAGGGACGACACGAGGGGAGAGAAGAATCTGCGGAGAGGGTATCAGGCGCGCTATCACGCACTCCTTTCATCACCTTCCAGCTCGCCCCATGCATGTTCCTGGCCACATAGCCAGGGACGTGGCCGGTGTAGCCAGCAACAGGAGGGGACCAACGCTTGCTGCTCCTCGAGGTTGTGCTGCCAGGTCTCGACGTCTTGGTGCCCTCCAGTCTCTTTCCCAGCTCTAGCGAGGCCGCTACCTCCTTGGAACCAAGAGGAAGCATCTTGCGGGCGGGCGACGAGTTGTTCAGCTCGTCGACGACATTGCGCGTCGTTTGCGCCCCCTTCACCGACTGCATGAGCGACAGCCACGTGGCGCCATGAAGGTTCAGCGCGACCAGGCCTGGCACGTGACCGCTGTAGCCCGCCTGCTCCATTTGTCAGAGGAACGTGCTGGAGGTTCGCGGAATGCAAGCTCAGGGGTTACCCTTGGCTGTTGGTAGCCTTCCTTGCGCGGAGTCTCCGACGAGCTGTACTTAGACCGAAGCTCCTCCACCAGGTTGGTCTCCACCATTGCGATCTAAGTGACCTTGAACGAGTCCGTTCACTCCTTGCTCCCACTGCCACCTCCAATTTCTTTTCTTGATTTCGAGCTTCTTGTTTGTCTCTTTTCTGATGTGATCTCTTTTCTCCCTTCCTCTGCTTGACTTGCTGTATCACTACCTTCAAGGAGCCATTTCGCCGCGAGAAAAACAGCCAACGCGTTCCAACTGAAATACAGAAACATCAGTAAACGAAGACTGGAGAGGCTCGTTCAGCACATGAGAAAAGACTAAAAGCTGTGAGGACATGGGCAATAACTCAAGAAAGTGATGATATTCCAAAATTCGCTATCACACAATACATCTACACCCAATACATGTAATCAACTACACTTGGTGAAATCACGTCGGTTATCCTTGTAGCCGTATCTTGAACACGACTTCAGCTCTGATTAAGGTCTAAAGCAATCTCCTATCTGTAACAATCGAAAATTTGAAACATCCTTTGAAACATCCTTCCGAATATATGTGATGTCTTTCCAATTCCTTGCTTAGTTTGAACACATCCTCAAACAAACTGTCCTGCCGATTTCTCCTTACTGTCCTACGAGGACTAGAAATCTGTCCTAAAAGGACTTGCAATCAATTCTTCATCATTCTCCTTCAAATTTCTTTGCTATTTCGTTCTTGAAGTGTCTTGATCCACTTGTCCGCCTTTCCTACCCCTCCAGGATTTTCACATCCCACAGAAGGCTTCAGTACCTTCAGCCTCATGCATCATATTAGACTCCTAACATCCCTCCTCCTGGCTCTTTTCTGCTTCTTCAGAGCATCCATCCTCATCCTCCTCCTCCTCCTCTTCCTCCCGCCCTCTCCCTCTGCTCCATCGCTGAACCTATCAACTCCATCGCCATACTCGCATGCTCCCTCTCCAGTCTCGTTGAGGGTTTAGTGTTCAGTTAGGGGGTAGGGTGCGAGCAAATGACAAAGTAGTGGGTAGGGGTGATCAGCCTTGCTGGGGTAGTTCCAACCGAAGCCCTTGGTAGAGAGGGTGGGCAATATACAACATGGGGTTAGGGGTCAGTTTTGGCTGAAAACGAGTGGGTGGGGTACAAATGTCTTTGTTTATCGTCTTACGGGGGTTCTTTCCCAACAACCAATGTCTCAGCCGTATGGTAGGGTTCTAATGCTGAACTCACTAATGGGGTAGGGGTGTAGTGTTATAGTACGGGTAGGGTATCACTGAAGACCAGTTCCTTCACCAACCATGGGTGGGTACAATGTACCGATGATAGGGGTAGGGGTACAAATTTGGAGGGTCAACCAGCAAGGGTGCTTTTTTCGCTCATCACTGGTGGGTGGGGTGGTATGCAGTCATTCGAACCTGGGAGGGGGATTGTCGAATCGGGCTCCCTAGGGGTTCATAGGCGTAGATACAGGTGGGGTGGGTGGTTGACCACCGGTGCCTGAAAGATTGGCTGACGGACGTGCCATGCATATAGTTAACGTCCATGGGGGTGGGGTGGTGAGGGTAGGGCATCTCAGGGTCACTGGGGTACTCATTACCCGTGGTTGCAGAATGGATCTGGTACAAGTGTGGCTGCAGTGGCGAGGTACCGGGTGGGGTACAGAAATTGATGTCGGTAGATAAGGGGGGTCAGGGTGGTGCTTCTTTAAGTGGGGCTCACTAGGTCAGTACGGGTACCCACCCCCTGGACTTAGATTTCAGTCATCGGGTCTTCCCACGTACCTGGGTTCCCTTCGATCACCCTACCCACACGTTAGGGAGATGAGAGGACTTGCGAAAGACGCCATTGACGTGATAAGGCTCCACCCCTCATGCAATATTCTCTATGTCTGTCTCTATGAAATTATAGCCATCTGTGCATACCATGGATCTTTTACCCATGACCCCCAGCTCAATTGAGCCACCTACCCCCAACTATTTGAATCCTGATGTCAGCAGCAGTACCCATCAGCCCTATTTGCAGTCACAAGAATCCAAAAGTTCTCTGTTGGTACAAATTGTCCGCATGATTAGGTGTCAAAAGACGTCTTTTCGATGAGTAAATCTCGTATGAATATCCTCTCGTCGTCTCGAAAGGTCTTTTAAAAGTACAAATAAACGTCGTCGTCACACGGACTGAGCCGCCGCCTCAGCGGCCTCCTGTGACAGTTGGTTAGCCGGGCCGTATGCAACTTGGACCGGGCCGGTCCGGGCCGGACCGGCAAGTCCCAAGTCACTCAGTCAGAGTCACGCCATACACCGTGCCAGTTTACCGGGGTTTAGGGCTAGTACGGTGGCAACGTGTCCCGCGTGCAGACAAGTGAAGGTATCAGTTAAGTTGGGGGACTCGGGGAACAGCAGTTGGCAGGATTCAATGACTCTGTGATGATTGGGTTCCGGGTTCTCGCTGTCTTTTCTCTTCTCGCCGTTTGACCTGCCAGGCTGTGCGACCATCGGACAGTCTGGCACCCGTCAGCCCGGTACGCCGTCAACTTGCTAAGCCTCAGCCGACCCTCGACCGTCCTATCAGTGTCGGATTGTCTTCGTACTGATCTTTAACTTAATTTGTGACTTTGAGTGAAGCCTTGGCGCTTCCGATTATGCCGGTCAGTGAGAGACTTTGGCACAGCGGCTTTACTAAGTTGAGTAACCTCGAGATCTTGATCCGAAGTTTCCCCCGCTGCCGGGGGCCGGGGGGGTCGGACCGGACTCCCGGCTACAGTGGGGGCCCGTTTGCCATATACCGTTGCCTGGGGGAGCTGGCGGGTGACCGAGGATTCGAAATACTACCACGGTGAAGGTTGATGAGTAAAATCTATGACCAACCCCGTGACCGGGTTTATGAGACGTTGCTAGTTCGTGTCTGCTGGAGCTAATGGGACAACAACTCGTCCCACTCTTGCAAGCACGCACGTCCCCTGCTTCTTCCCCGCCCCTCCCCCCCTCCCCCGCGTCAAGCCTCTGACCTCCCTCAAGCTACCTCTGACTCTCTCTTTCAGCCCCTTCCCCCCCCCTTCCCCCCAGCACCTCCCTCTTTGATGTTGACGTGGTGTAGCTCTCCCTCGTCTCTCTCCTCGTCCGATCATTGCATTCTCTGCCGTGATCGCCTCCAAAGCCTCCTCCCTCCTGCTTGCTTGCATTGCGACAAAGGCAACCTCCTCCCCTCCATCGACCGGCACGGCAACTTCCCTCCCTCCAGCCCGTACCAGCGCTACCTCCTCGCTCACAGCAGCGCGTGGTCAGCGTCCATCGACCGGGAGGGGAACCTGAGCAGGAGATGAGGGAGGGAGATGGGAAGTTGGGTTCACATGTAAACTACTATAAAGACGAATCTGATGAACTAGGAGCTCGCTGAACGCAAGAGCAAGGCCGGAATGAAATAGCATCAGGCACTCGTGACCTGTGAGGAGATGGCAAGAAAACGCTCACATGTTATCATCATCATCATTCATCTACAAACCACTGTACTTCTACCACCATAGGTATATGAACCATACCGTTTTGTACTACATGTACCACCATCAATCAGTCTACGAACCATGCAGTCTATTTGTGCCATCATCGTCATCAACATATGGACCAAACTACGTTGATGCTTAGAACATCTTCGATCTAGTCGCAGCAGCAAAGTCTCCGATATCTTGATGCTGCAGTGAGCTACTGGCTATCGACCATCAGGCTTGAAAGAGCTCCTGATGGTGCTGAAGCTCAACAGGACTCGACGACCCCATACGGGTCAGCCGGGCTGAGCAGTCGGGAAAAGTAAGAACAGAACCATCAACACACGTTTGTAGAGGTAGAGGCTGATCCGTCCATACCCTGAGAGGTGGACTGAGGTAGGGATGAACATCATAGCTCTTGAGATGATGCCTTATCCTGGCCTGGAGCGAGCTCGGACCCCATGACCTCTAAGAAAACAGGCCCAGACAAGACGCCTCCCTCCAGCACGTACCAGCGCTACCTCCTCGCTCACAGCAGCGCGTGGTCAGCGTCCATCGACCGGGAGGGGAACCTGAGCAGGAGGTGAGGAGGGGGAAGGCCGCGGGGCTGGGAGGGGTCGGGCTGTAGATAGAGGGATAGCATGTACACTAGTACACGGAGAGGAGTTTATCTAGGACCAAGGGGCTAAGAGACAACGAAGCGTCTCAAGGCTGAGCCGCAAGTAGAGCATGCTGCTTCTGCCCTCCCTCCCGAGACAGAGACGGCCTGAGCTTGACGGGTGATGACGAGGAGGAGGGGAATCCGAAAGATCTTCTTGGGGAGGGCGTGACCCTTTGAAAGAGAGTTCTGTTGCAGGTGTACAGACATCGAAGCATCCAGCAATCCGAAGAAGCATATGAAATCTGCTTTTTAAGAAGTTCAATTGCATGATCGATGACAAAGAAAACAAGTATGTACCCGATAAATCTGTTCTGTTCCGACCGGGGACTTGCCATTATCGTCGATATTTACTTCGAACTTGAAGCTACCATGTCACTCTACCGGACTCTTAGCATAATCTCGTCACCCTGCACCCTACTGACTACCCTACATTTCAGAGGATCTCCGACAAGCATGACGGAAATCTCCGTGTCTTCCTCTGTCTGCATCCTCGACCCGACCAGCTGTGAGGGAGAGAGGTCAGCTCATTCCACCTCGTAAAAAGCATCCAACTATCTGAACACCTCGATCATCAGTTGACAGTCTATCAGATCCCCCTCGACCCTTCCTGATGCCTCATATCTATCTTCTCAACTTCTCGTTCTCTCTTCTCATTCACCTCATATCTATCTTCTCAACTTCTCGTTCTCCTCTCGTTCTCACTTCACGTTGTTATCCTCGTTCTCCTTTCCTGCGATCTATCCTGCTATCCTCATTGAAATATTTTTCAACAACTAGTCATTTGTTCCCCCGTTTCTGGTCAAAAGTTAAGGGAAACAAGAAGTTGAAAAACAAGGTACCCTACCTACTAAAATAATGCACCCCTACCCCTTCTATGATTAAAAATAACCCCCTCCTTTCTATTTACCACCCTACCAACTCACACCAAATCTGGAAGTAAAAATTTTTCCACACCACCCCTCAATCTGTGCTCGACCGACACCCCACCCTCTCTGGCAGTCAAGATGGTGGCCATGGCGGGTGCGGGAGGGACTTTTTCTCTTTGTTCACCAGTCGTCCTCCCCCCCCTCCTCTTCCTCCTCCTTGCCGCTGTTCCTTCGCCAGTCATGGCAGACGCAGTCATGCAGTGGGTAGATCTCACCGCCACCCCTCCTCCGAACCTGTTTGCCCCCGGCACTTGTGTTGTGAACAATGTCGCATACTTGTTCGACGGAAGCACAATCTACACGCTCAGCGATCCTCAAGGTAGCTGGTCCAAGATCACACCTCAGGGATCAACCAGACCCTCTGATCTCGTGGGATTTAACATGGTTACGGACAACACTTTCTTCTACACGTATGGCTCTCAAAGTGGTATGAGAATAAAATTTCTCTGCAGGATGTTGCTAAGCTGCATGCAGGAACAACCATGTATCGGTTTGAGCTCTCGAAATCGACATGGTCCATTGTTGACGCCACAGGCTCACCTACGTCAAAATACAACTTTGCAATGGCTTACATTGGCAACAAGATCTACAGCTTTGGCGGAGTTGATTATGGTGCGCATCTTTTTACATGATATCATCTGTCTCACTGGATCTCATGATCAGCTGCGACAAATGATATGAACGTTTTCGACATCTCAATCTCTAAATGGTCCACTATCACCGTCTCTGGCAATAAGCCGCCTGCGTGCTACAATCCCCAGATGGTTGCGATAGGAAGCTTGTTATACATGTATGGGGGCTACTGTAATCGCTCTGTGCAAACTTGATGACTTAGCTGATCGTGTATGTAGATGGTAGTGCAAAGTATGACGACGTTTACAGCTTTAATCCTTCAAACGGTGTCTGGACACTACTCGCTGTGACAGGAACTCGACCGACTGGTGGAGGACATTATTTCTCGATGACAAGTGTTGGGAGCTTGATATACATTTTCGGAGGAGAAAGTGAGTCGACTGGCAGAACAAAGTCGTTTTGGATGTCTGATATTGACTTGTTATGCAGATAGCAATAACAAAGTGAACTCGTTTGATACCACAAAGAATGCTTGGACTCTCCTGGCAACGACAGGATCTGAACCAGAAGCAAGACAATCAGCCGCTTTCTTCCCACTAAGCAAAAGCTCGATCACTCATCTTGTTGTGCATGGTGGCAGCACAGGCAGTAAGTCTCGTGATGACCTTTATATTCCTCTGAGTGCTTGTGCTTGTGCTTGTAGCTTCGCTAAGCAACATCTTGCGATGGACGCTGGACACCAACAGTATGTCTTGGACCCGGAAGGATGACACAGTCCCTTCGAGTCGCTCTTTCTTTGGGATGTCGTCTGTCAGCAAGCTCTATGTGGTGTCAGGAGCGGGAGCAGGTGAAATGACGACATTTCAATCAGATCGAAAAGTGATGACCTGATGAACGCAGGAAGCAGCTACAACCCGTACATATACACTCCCTCTACCAACACCTGGCAAGTCCCATCAGTTTCGGGATTCTGGTTCGTGGCGGATGAAAGAGACGGTCCTGCCATGGTGTCGGTGGGAACAAAGACTTATCTGCACGGCGGATATAGTGGACAAACGACATCGTACGGGTACGACGTGAACATTCTGTTCGGTAAGACTTGATGGACGCCAAGACTTTGGCGGGGCTGTTTGAAGCTCTATCTTTGATCAAAACTTCACCAGGTCAAATGACCATCTTTGACACGGTGGGAGGAACTTGGAGTCACGTCCAATATAGCTCTCTCTCCACCTCAACAACATATCCATCAAAGCGATACGGCCACGCCATGGCAGTGCTTGGGACCGCGATCTACCTGTACGGCGGACATGCATACACTTCCTCAAAGAGTGAGCGACGGAGCTTGCAAGAGAGAGCTGTGATGGCATGTGTTGTTCAGGTGATGGTCTATTGAAAAACGACCTCTACAGTTTCGACACGACCACCTACGCTTGGACTCTGCTGAGCACGAGCGGGTCGAAACCTTCGGCACGCTTTTGGCATGGGATGGTGGCAGTGAACGGCAACGTCTATTTGTACGGAGGAGCTGAAAGCCTCAACACGAGTGAGAGCAGCAGCAGTTGGAACCTTGTCTTGACCTTCTTGACAGACATGGCGGCTGACACCAACGTGTATCTGCTGAACCCGGGCTCGTTGACGTGGAGCATCCTATCGACCACAGGATCGATTCCTCGAGGACGTCGAATGCACAGCATGGTCTCCTTGGGATCTAATATCTACCTCTTTGGAGGAACAGACCCCGCCTCAGGTAAGTCTCTTTGCAATAAGTTGACAGGAGCGTCTTTGACTAGGGCTTCCAGGGAACCTGGTGGAGAACTTCCTCTACGAGCTGAGCACGTCAACCAGAGAATGGAGCATCACAGCAACTACAGGCAGCAGCCCAGCAGCACGCTGGGGGCATGGCATGACGAGCATAGATCAATACGTGTACATCTTTGGAGGCACGGGTTCTGACGGTAAGAGCAGCATGGCGTTGCAAAAAGGATAGACTGATGCCAGGACAGGCTCTAAGACTCAAGACTTGTACAAGATCTTTCTAGCAGGTTGTGAAGCCGGGTACGGGTACTCGACGTCGACGTCAGACTGCACAGTATGTGCTGCGGGCAAGTACAAAGACTTCACAGCAAACTATCCCTGTATCTCCTGCGTGGCTGGCAAGTACTCTTCAGTAGGAGCGACTGCATGCTTGACTTGTCGGGCCAACTCCTACAGCGTGGCAGAGAGCTCGCAGTCAGGGTGCGTGTGCAACAGCGGGTATGGCGCGACGAGCATTTACGAAGACTGCGTGACGTGTCCGGCTGGAACCATAACGGATCCGTCTACTTCACAGTGTGTCAGTTGCTCAGCAGGAACGTATGCCGCATCTACAGGGAAATGTCAAACCTGCCCTGAGTACGCGTGGTCACCTGCTGGCAGCTGGTCGGTGAGCAACTGTACCTGCAATGTTGGATATACAGCATCAGGAACAACATGTGTTGCGTGTAGCTCTGGTACGTACAAGAGCAGCCTAGGCAGTCAGGCCTGCACGTCCTGTCCTGTCGGCAAGTCTACGTACGGGACAGGAAGCACGCAAGCGAGCAGCTGTCTGTGTGCGGCAGGATATGCACCCAACGCCTCTTCGACATTGGGCTGCTCCCAATGCGCTGCGGGCAAGTACAAAGACTTCACAGACAACTATCCCTGTACCTCCTGCGTGTCTGGCAAGTACTCGTTAGTAGGAGCGACTGCATGCTTGACTTGTCGGGCCAACTCCTACAGGGAGGAAGGGAGCTCGCAGTCAGGGTGCGTGTGCAACAGCGGGTATGGCGCGACGAGCATCACCGAGGCCTGTCAAGCGTGTGCAGCTGGGACCTACTCAGACTCGACGATGAACGAGTGCGTGACGTGTCCAGCTGGGAAATACTCTGACTCAACAAGGTCTGCGTGCATCGGCTGTCCTGCTTACAGCTCGTCACCTGCTGGCAGCTGGTCGGTGAGCAACTGCACATGCAATCGAGGGTATGAGCTGCAGAGCTCCGGGTGTACTGCATGCGCGATCGGTTTCTACAAGTCTGTATCAGGATCCTCTCCCTGCAGCTCTTGCCCGGCGTACATGACCTCGCTTTCTATCGCGTCCACCTCACTTTCAGACTGTGTTTGCGACAAGGGATACACGCTCAACATGTCATCGGGTCAGTGTGCTGCTTGTGCTGCTGGCCAATACAAGAGCGAGCTGGGATCGAGCGCTTGCATTACGTGTGAAGCCAACAAAACTTCTGCATTAGCGAGCGTTTCCGTTGCTTCCTGTGTGTGTCAAGCCGGGTATGGCACGACTGGTGCAGGAGGAGGATGCTCGTTGTGCCCTGTAGGCACGTACAACCAACATTGTTCCTCCTCATCATGTGCTTGCCAGGCCTGTCCTTCAAACTCACTGACTGACCAGACGGGATCAGTATCGCTTGACAGCTGCTTGTGCACCTCAAACTACTATGAGATCCGGTCGTCGTCAGGGCTGGTCTGCAATAAATGTGCTCTAGGGAAGTACAGCTCCAAGGGCTCGAAAGTTTGTACAGACTGTAGGATCTGTGAGTATGGTCGGGGAGCTCAGCAGTGTACCGCAGATGCAGCTTGTGTTGATGTGTGTAGTTCCAACCAGTATTACCAGCCCAGCACCACCTCCAACTGTCTGACCTGCACGTCATGTGATGGCAAGAAACTCGTTAGGAACTGTTCCGAGTTTTCCGATGCTGTTTGTGTTCCCAGCGATTGCTCATATACCTGTGAGGAAGGAAAGTACGGAAATTTAGACTGCCCGGTGGAATGTTTCTCCTGCGTTCAATGTCCAGCTGGTCAGGTGAGGTACGGCTGCGGGGGAATAAGCTCAGGCTCCTGCTACACTTGCGAACCCGGCTTCTTCACAGCTACCATCAACAGCAAGTCTTGCAGTGCATGTGCGGCTGGGAACTACTCTGACGTGTCCGGAAGCACAACGTGCAAGACATGTGGGCTGGGCAAGTATAGCTCCCAACCTCTGATAGGATCGAGCACCTGCTACTCCTGTCCAGCTAACTCATACACCTCCTCGCCAGGATCTTCCAACATCGAGGCTTGCCTGTGCAACGCAGGCTTCACAGGTCAGAACGGAGGACCCTGCAGCGATTGCTCAGTAGGACAGTACAAGAGCAGCCTAGGCAGTCAGGCCTGCACGTCCTGTCCTGTCGGCAAGTCTACGTACGGGACAGGAAGCACGCAAGCGAGCGACTGTCAGTGTGCGGCAGGATATGCACCCAACGCCTCTTCGACATTGGGCTGCTCCCAATGCGCTGCGGGCAAGTACAAAGACTTCACAGACAACTATCCCTGTTTCTTCTGCGTGTCTGGCAAGTACTCTTCAGTAGGAGCGACCGCATGCTTGACTTGTCGGGCCAACTCCTACAGCGTGGCAGGGAGCTCGCAGTCAGGGTGCGTGTGCAACAGCGGGTATGGCGCGACGAGCATCACCGAGGCCTGTCAAGCGTGTGCAGCTGGGACCTACTCAGACTCGACGATGAACGAGTGCGTGACGTGTCCAGCTGGGAAATACTCTGAGTCCACGCAAGGGGCTTGCACTGCTTGTCCTGTCGGTACGACTTCTGTAGCAGGCGCGATGAGCGCGTCGGAGTGTCTCTGCGGGGAAGGATACACCAAGTCAGGATCAAGCTGCACGGCTTGCGACATCGGGACGTACAAGGACAGCATAGGGAACTCGGCTTGCCTCCCGTGCTTGGGGGCCGCAAGCTGTCCGATCGGAGCTTACAAGCCTGACTGCCCGTCAGCATCGCGAGTCGACACGCAATGCAAGCCGTGCATGAACAAACCTAACAACAGCGTCTTCACGACCAACGGAGGGAGCCAGGACGCATGCAAGTTCCAGTGTGCGGAGGGATACAAGCTCAACTGCGAGACCAACACTTGTCAGATCTGTCAGCCTGGCTCGCAGTACTACTCCCCGCCTGCTGCAGACTGTAAGGAGTGCCCTATCGGCGGGAATTGCGACGGGTCGACCCTCAACCCTAGGGTAGCTGGCTCGGCGTGGGGCTGGGAAGAAGGCATCCTCCGCATTCAGTCGTGCCCAGCTGGATACATCTTGATCCGCAACCAGATGAACCCTCAGCTGGACGACTGCAGCGAGTGTCCTACCTCCTACTACAGCCCGGTCCCTGCGAGCTACAAGGAACAGATCCAGAGCGTCAGTTCGCCGTCTGCTGTCCTCTTGAAGTGTATTCCGTGTGAACTGGATAAGGTCGACTGCCCGGGAGGCAGCCAGTACATCGCGAAGCAAGGATACTGGACGCTGATCGACTCGTCCTCGAGTAGGCGAGCGGAGGCCAAGAACGACTCGAGCAGCCTCAAGATTCCCATCTACCGCTGCCCACCTGACGCATGCGAGCAAGGGAACAACTGTACCGTTGGTCGCAAAGGAGTGCTCTGTGCTCTCTGCGATGAAGGTTACTTCATGGCAGGGACGGCTTACGGTGAGTGCTGGACGACTGAGGCTTCTTCTCTCTCCAAGTCTCACTGTCATGGCAGGAGCTGAGTGCAAGCCCTGCAACGGCAAGGTTGAGAGCTTCAAGACCGGAGGACAAGCTCTGTTCGTGCTCGTGATGCTCGTCCTGTGGTACGTGTTGATCCTCCGCCCGCTGCTCGGCTTGTCGAAGCCGGAGAAGCGAGCGACTAACGACGTGACGACGTGGACGAGGATCGTCTACTACCTCAAGAGAGCCTGGGAGTACCTGAGGCTGGTGATCAGCTTTCTTCAGGTCACTTCCTCCTTCACAAACTCCTACAACGTCCCTTGGCCTCTAGAAGTTCAGAACCTCTTCAAGATCGCAGCGGCTTTCAAGTGAGTGACGGAGGGGGTGGGGGTGGTGAAGGCCTGGAAGAGAGCTGGGAGGAGGAGGCGATGGCAGCAGGGGGAGCTGACGAGACTGAGCAGGTTCGACTTGTTCGCCTTCACAGGCATGCACTGTCTGCTGTCGGGGATGACGTTCAGCCAGAGACTCGACCTCTACGGCATCGGGCCTGTGGTGGTCGGGGTGTTCATGCTCCTTCCCCTGCCGTTCCTCAGGAAGACAAGCCCCGCCAACGTGCTCAGAGACTCCCTCCGCCCCTGGTGCATCTTCCGCTTCAACCTAGGGAGACTCTGCCCCTGGTCCGACCAGGAGGACGAGGAAGACACCAAGAATCGTGTAGATCTGCTTGCCAAGGGTGAGGACATGAAGCCGGAGCAAGTCATGGAGCAAGTCGCACAGGTCAACGAGTACAACGCGCATGTGCAGGAGAGAGTCTGGTTTTGGTTTCTCTTCTGGTAGCTCATCACCTTGTGCTCTGCTTCTCCTGACGTCTGTGTGCTCAGGTGCTTCTTGATCTATCCTCTCCTCGCCATCTTCGCTTCCTCGGGCTTCATCTGCAAGACCGTCGGGTCCAACAAGTACCTCCTCATCGACTTCTCCGAGGCCTGCCCCGTCTCCGACGCCTCGAAGCCCATCTTCTGGAAGGTGGTGGTCATCTTCCTGGCCTACCCCGTGGGGATACCAGTCTTCTTCCTCTGGATGCTCTGGCGGCATGAGGTCCCGAGGCTGGCTCGGGTGAAGAAGGAGAACCTGCTCTTCATCGAGGTGCTCAAGGAGTACAAGACCCGAGCTGAGCGAGACAAGGAGAGGCAGCCGGTGGTCCGGAAGATCGCCCACCTCCTCCACGAGCACAGCAGCCACCGCAACCGCCTCCTCATCTCCGACAACCTCACGCCCTCCGAGCTCGAGTCCGTCTTGCAGTTCGAGTATGTGAAGCTCTTTCTTCCATCCCTCCCTTCTTTCAACTCTCTCCCTCTCTCTCTCTCTCTCTCGCTTTCTCTCTCTCTCTCACTCTCGCTTTCTCTCTCTCGCTCTTTCTCGCTCTTTCTCCTCCCCACTCCCTCCATTTCCTGCCTTCCTCCTGCTCCTGTTCCTCCCGTTTTCTCTCTCTCTGCTCCTCTCCTCCTCCTCCTCCTCCTCCTCCTGCCTTCTTCTGTGTGATCGGGTGGAACAGATGGTGGCACGACACCATCACGGAGACCGACGATCATCAGTTCCTCCGACTGGTATCGCATGCTTTCAATCTTCTGCATGTCTTGACTGCCTTGCGGCAGAAATGGCTTCGCCCGTCAAAGCAGGAGAAGGGTGGGAACGAGATGGAAAACTTGGATCAGTCGCAGGAGACAGTGAAGAGAAGAACGCTCTCGAGTTTGAGGAGGTGGAAGGTGGAGGTGGAAGAGCAGCTGGGGAAGTTGCGGTCGCAGGAGATCAGCATGACGAGCATGCAGCAGCTGCTGGAGAACAGAATCACCTGGTGCAAGAGCGCGATGCGGTGGATCAACAATTGCCCTGCTCATCTGTTCAGCGACTCGCTGCCTCCCGGGCACGAGGGGGAAGACTTACACAAGTGTATCTTGTTCATCAACAACCTGCTCTTCGACGAGGCGCGAGACTTTCTCCTCCAGGGTCAGGAGGTGGTGGGCAGGTGGAAGAAGCAGGTCGACGATCACTCGCTTGCTCACGCGACCGCCCGCAAAGATCTAGGGTTTGAGGATGACGATGAGATGGAGCAGTACTGCTGCTTCCTCCCGGCCTCCCAGCAGAATCTCCAGCGCGAGTCCTCGAGCTTCATTAAGCGGTTGTTCTCGCGGGACCTGAAGAAGCTCGTGCAGGAGGGCAAGCAAAACGTGACGATCGCGGAGAAAGACCTCGACCTGGTCGCTCGCTACCTGCGCATCCAGGAGGCGATCTGGGTGAGGAGCATCTGCGAGAAGCTCGACAAGGAGAGACAGGAAGGCGGGAAGGAGGAGCAGGACGACATGCTGTCAGAGGAAGAAGAACACATCGACCCTGAGCAGGTGCAGGTGAAGGTGCTTGGTCGGGGAGGAGAAGGAAGTCAAATCTTCCAGTCCAGCGAAGACGGGGAGGGCATCATAGACACAGGAGAGCTGCAGGAAGGCTTCACGCGGCAGAGCTGGCTGCGCTACTTCATGAAGCGAGGCTTCTCCAACCACACCAGACGCGTCTTCGACTGGCTCCTCCTCCCTGGGTGGAACAGAGCCTATCCTGCCGGCCCGGCTCGGCTCTTTGCCTGGATCGACCAGGAGGGACGATGGTCGAGCATCGTCAGGGCACGGGAGGAGAAGCGGCACGAGGTGCTGCTACAAGCAGCTCGCAGCTACTTCGAGCAGAGGAAGGCGCTGTCGCGATTCCCCATGGCGCTGGAAGAGCTAGTCATCCGCCTGCAGGAGATCCGCCTCAAGGAGGCCGTGCTTCTCCTCGGACGACAGCTGCAGCACCAGGGAAAGATCGCGGTCCCGCCATGCCGGTGGATGACCCAAGACGAGCTGCTGGAGCGAAGGAGCCGAGTGAAGATCAAGGCGATGCAAGTGACGTCGTCAGAAGAAGAAGCGTTCGAGGACGAGGACGATCTGATCAACATCGAGAAGATAGCGGTGCATCAAGCTGGCTTCATCTTCCAGGCGTATAAGGTGAGCTTGTGCTGCTGCTGTCGTAAGATAAACGTGTCAAGGTGGACTTCTGGTTCTTTGAGATCGTCGACATGCTGCGAAAGTGAGAGTCGCTGCCCGTCGCCTGCGGTCCTTCTTTCTCACCTTGTCATGCGGCAGGTTCTTGATGATGGGCATCGTCAACTTCATCTTCCCCGACTCGCCTCAGCAGACCGCAGCTGGCTGCGCTGTGGCCTTCACTTCTCTCCTCCTCGCCATCTACTTTCGTCCCTTCGTCAACAGGCGGCTCAACACCTTGTATCAGCTCGCGCTCTTCACGCAGACGCTGACGCTTTTCTGTGAGCTCCCTCGTTGTCGCGATGACGGTCTGACGTGTCATGACAGATGGGCTGATGCTTGACTTGCAGAGGTACCTGTGACGAGTCATAGTTTTCACCTTGACACGTGTCTTGCTCGACAGCTTGCAGTACAGGTTGGAAGAGGTGGTGACGGGCGAGACGGAGCAGACGACCTTGACCATCATCATCATCGCCTCCAACATCTCCGTCTTGTTCCTTCCGGTTATCCTCTGGATAGCGCAGGAGGATGTCATCGACCGCTCTTGGCGCTTCTTCGTCACAAAGACGGGCTTGCGCCGATGTCTCTCGCAGATGGTCTCTTCGCGTGTTTCTCGCTCGCTCGCGCTTCCTGCTGACGGCTTTCGCACAGGAGGCGAGGAGAGGAGCAGGAAGGATCAACCAGGGAGCTCAGAACTACATGCTCTACCCGTCGAAGATCGCAGAAGTTGACGGCCCGACATCTCAGAGGAAGCTCTCGAGACGCAAGTTGTCCTCTCAAACTCCCCTCACTCCCACCTCCCCGGCAAGCATGACGGGAATCTGCATGTCCTCCTCTCTTTGCACCCTCGACCCGTCCAGCTCTGCTCCGGCTGAAGCGGAGAAGTTGTTTTTTGTAAACAAAGACGTGCACGAGATCCAGGAGGAACGGGAGGCAGGCGCAAGGTGAGAAAAATCCTTTTTTTCCAGCATGCTTACCAGGTTGTGAAGCAGTCAGCCGCTCGAGTAGATGTACCAATCACCGCGCCAGTAGACCTATGAGGGATCAGCTTATTTCACGTTGCAATGAACATCCAATCTACCTCAACACCTCGTTCACTTGACGTTACAAGAAATCTCAAGTTTGATTTGCCTCAATACTGTTCTTGCTCTGTATGCTTGTGCCCGGAATGGTGAAAGTGCAGAAACTTGGGAATTTGATAAGGGAGGAAGTGAACATGCTTACCTTCTCATATTTTCACTTCTCATATTTTCACTTCTCTCCTCTTCACTTGTCTTTTCTTTCCTTGTCCTGTTTTTGACTTCAGATCATTTACCTTTGATTAATTTCTTATCTGATCTGATCTGGTCTGGTCTGGTCTGATCTGATCTGATCTGATCTGTCCTTCATCCATAGTCTTGCTTCTCAATTTCATCTCTTTTAGCTTCTCTTCTCTTCTCTCTTCTTCTCTGCTGTTCTCTCCATAGGGCTCCAGCTCCAGCTCCAGCTCCAGCTCCAGCTCCAGCTCCAGCTCCAGCTCCAGCTCCAGCTCCAGCTCCAGCTTCTGCTCCTGCTCCTGCTCCTGCTCCTGCTCCTGCTCCTGCCCTTCCAGCTCTAGCTCCAGCTCCAGCTCCAGCTCCAGCTCCTGCTCCTTGATGTACTAGACGCGGCTCTCGATCATCCCTGCAGCAGACTCTTCGACTGGTTTGACAGCGGAGTGATCAGTTAGATGTCAAGTCAAATAGAAGTACGATGGTGTCACATCATGGGACTGTCCAGACTTGCTCGGTAAAAGCCGACGACCCGCCCCTAGACAGGGCGCTCCTGACACCGCGTTCACGTGGCGTGAGCACGGATGATGAGGGGCTCGTCCGACCTTGTCGTGTACCTTGGCCTCTCCATCTGACTGACAACATGACTCACGTCAACTCTCATCCTACCAGACTCTGAGAATAGACTCGTGTCGCAGTGCCAGCATGCACGCATCGGCCCCATGAGCGTGTACTGACTCGTCATCATTGGCTCGTGTCGCTCGTTGAACATCACTGACTGAAGAAGCTCCAACTTGAGATGACGTCATTCAGTGCAGGCCCGCCGGGCCCGGGGCGGGCCTCCGAGTCTCAGTGGCCCAGGGCCGGGGGGATGCAGTCACGTGCCAGCCTTAAGCCTGATCACGTGACTTTCTTTTTTCTCATGTCTTGCCAAAAAGGGCCACTAACTTGGTAAAGTTGACCGGCTAAAACTTCGGTACCACCCCTACCCCTCCGAATCAGTTCAAACTACCCCTAGTATCAAAATACCGCCCCATGACTCCTCACTGTCCGAACCCCCCCTTCTCCTCTCCCTTCCTCCCCCTTCCTCTCCCTTCCTCTCCCTCCTCCTCTCCCTCCCTCTCCCTCCTCTCCCTCCCCTTTCTCCGTCCCTTCTTCCTTCCTCCCTCTCCTCCCTCTCCTTGCCTCGCTCCCTGCTTCTCCCTCGCTTTCTCAATCACTTAACACCTTTCTCTATTACCTTCCTCCCCCTCCCCTCCTCCTCCTCCCTCTCCTTGCTCCCTGAGAGAGCGCGCAAGGCAGAACGCTGACCCTTACGTTTGACCTCAGGTAGAAATCATATCACGGCACCAAAATCCGACACAGCCGTTAACTACATAGTCCAGCAAGGCAGACCCATCATGCCTCATGTCACCATCTCGCCCCGCCCTCGAGGCCCGAGCTCTGTTCCATCGACTGCTCTCCCTGAGGTCAAGATCTCAACGGCGGTCCTCGAGCCTCTCTTCCGTCTCTCGATGAAGGATGCCGCAAGCCGTCTGGTGCTCGAGCAACGTCTCCATCCTGTACGACTCTGACTCCCGTCTTTACCCAGGGGGTCTCAACCACCAGCCTAAAGGCTGCCTGCAGGAAGCTCGGCATTTCGCGATGGCCTTCGCACAGAGCCAGGGAGCAAGGGCTGTACCGGAGAGCTCCAGCTGGATTGACTGAGGGCCTTCCGGACCTGACAAGCTCAGCACCGAGCTCTAGAGCACATGGCACAGAGAACAACAGGGGTCTTGTGAGGGAGGGACTGGGACAGTCAGAGGGGAGCAGAGGTAAGATGGAGCAGTGGGACGTTGAGCAGGCGGTAGACGAGGGCTGGGCCTGCCTTGAACCGGGATGGATAATGGAGTACATGAAGGCAGGAATGCATGAGGACGATGACCTGGGAGACTGAGCAAAGTGATAGAGCCTGTCAAATCGGATCGTCATCGTAGCGCAGTGGAGTTGGAAGGCACTTGTTTCATGTTCTGATTCATTCCAACTAGCAAGCACGAGTATCCGTTCCAGGTCCGAAGCTGATGAACCTGAGTAAATGTCCACAAGACTGTCCTGGAAAGTGCAAATCTTTAAACACACTGCGAAGAGGTTGTCCAGGTGAAAACTTTGAAATGACTTTCGCCTTGACTTCGTCTCTTGTGAATGCTCTCTGTCTAATTCACAGCACCTCTACCACAACCGTCGTCTCTTGTTCATTGACCGGCTGCCCTCCACCTGCAGTCTTGTGCTCATTCATTCAGTCATGGAAGTAAAATTCGAAAAGAAATCAAGATGGCAACATTTAATATTTTCAACTTTTCAACTTTCATTGCATGTACTGCCATGGTTCCGACTACGGAAGCAGCCTGGCCTGATGAAGGGAACTTGGCTGACTCCGACCCGCTGTCCGTCTCTGACATACTACGCTACCGTACGGGCCGTACGGCCCCGGACGGTGGCGGGCCGCCCGGGCCGACCGCCGGAGGGACCGGGCGGCGCCGAGGTACTGAGAATCGAGTCGTTGTCGGAGTATCCGATGACATCAGCCCGGGCCGGAGGCCTCCGGATCCGCTCGGAGACTCAGGGCGGAGGACTCCCGGGAGGTGCTAAAGTTAACAGTGTGTGTCACAGAGTACAAGTTAACAGTGCGTGTCACAGAGTACAGCAGAATCTCCGGTACCAATTTAAAGTCAACGGCGTGTATCACAGGGGTGATTTAGTACTGCCCTCGAGTTGACTAATAGAAAGTGATGCGACTGGTAGAGGTCAAAACTACGGAAGAGCTCCGACTCCGCGAGTCATAAGGGAGGACCTTTACAGGAGGAGGGTATTTTTAGAAGAAAAAGTAAGGGAGCCAAGTAAGAAGGTGCAGTAAAGAAGGCTCAAATGACCGCAAAAAACCCAAAAGACACCTTTTCGGAAGATCCTGCAGGCAGCTTTACGACTGCGCATCTTGTTTTGCTCCTTCAACGGCCCCCCATCCTTCCCTCTCCCTCCCTCCCTCTCCTATATCGTCCTCCCCCCTCAAGCAGCTCCGAACCTTGCCTACCCACAAGCTTCCGACTCTCCTGCTCTCTCCTGCTCTCTTGCAGTCGTGATCTCCAACTTCGCCTTCACCTCATCTGCTCCTCTCCCCTCTTCGCAATTTTCAGATGGAATCCTGCAAATCTTCCCTTTCCACTTCCCAGTCGCTGAACACCGCTCCTGCTCCTGATCCTGCTCCTGCTCCTGCTCCTGCTCCTGCTCCTGCTCCTGCTCCTGCTCCTGCTCCTGCTCCTGCTCCTGCTCCTGCTCCTGCTCCTGCTCCTGCTCCTGCTCCTGCTCCTGCTCCTGCTCCTGCTCCAGCTCCAGCTCCAGCTCCAGCTCCTGCTCCTGTATTCTGCCAATACGGAGCTTGCTTCAAGGCCTCCATAGACCGGCAAGGGACCCTCGTGCCATGCAGCTGCAGCCTCTACCAGCGCTTCCTGGTCGCCCACAGCAGCCCGTGGTCAGCGTCCATAGACCAAGAAGGGAACCTGACAAGGAGATAAAAATGTGTACATGTGTATCCTAGGAGAGACCATCTCACGTGTTTATATGTATCACTGAATGTAAAGTAGTCTGAATACAAGTTCAAAGAAGACAAGTGAATCTCGACGGGAGACAAGACAGAGAGGAGAAGGAACAGTGTGTATCTGTCAGAGGTTTTGAAGAAGAGGAATACACAGACTGACAAACCGATCGTGACAAAAGACATGAAAGAATCTTGACAAACGTATGTAGACTACCCCAGCCTGTCTTGTACGAGTACATGTAGACTACCCCAGCGTGTCTGGTACGAGTACATGTAGACTACCCCAGTCTGTCTTGTACGAGTACGTGTAGACTACCCCAGCCTGTCTTGTACGAGTACATGTAGACTACACAAGCCTGTTGTCTGGTACGAGTACATGTAGACTACCCCAGCCTGTTGTCTTGTACGAGTACATGTAGACTACCCCAGCGTGTCTTGTACGAGTGACATGTAGACTACCCCAGCGTGTCTTGTACGAGTGACATGTAGACTACCCCAGCGTGTCTTGTACGAGTACATGTAGACTACCCCAGCGTGTCTTGTGCGAGTACATGTAGACTACCCCAGCGTGTCTTGTACGAGTACATGTAGACTACCCCAGCGTGTCTTGTACGAGTACATGTAGACTACCCCAGCGTGTCTTGTACGAGTACATGTAGACTACCCCAGCGTGTCTTGTACGAGTACATGTAGACTACCCCAGCGTGTCTTGTACGAGTACATGTAGACTACCCCAGCGTGTCTTGTACGAGCACATGTAGACTACCCCAGCGTGTCTTGTACGAGTGACATGTAGACTACCCCAGCCTGTTGTCTTGTACGAGTTACATGTAGACTTCCCCAGCGTGTCTGGTACGAGTACATGTAGACTACCCCAGCCTGTTGTCTTGTACGAGTGCATGTAGACTACCCCAGCGTGTCTTGTACGAGCACATGTAGACTACCCCAGCGTGTCTGGTACGAGTACATGTAGACTACCCCAGCGTGTCTGGTACGAGTAACATGTAGACTACCCCAGCCTGTTGTCTGGTACGAGTACATGTAGACTACCCCAGCCCGTTGTCTTGTACGAGTACATGTAGACTACCCCAGCGTGTCTTGTATGAGTGACATGTAGACTACTCCAGCGTGTCTTGTACGAGTACATGTAGACTACCCCAGCGTGTCTTGTACGAGTACATGTAGACTACCCCAGCGTGTCTTGTACGAGTGACATGTAGACTACCCCAGCGTGTCTTGTACGAGTACATGTAGACTACCCCAGCGTGTCTTGTACGAGTACATGTAGACTACCCCAGCGTGTCTTGTACGAGTACATGTAGACTACCCCAGCGTGTCTTGTACGAGCACATGTAGACTACCCCAGCGTGTCTTGTACGAGTAACATGTAGACTACCCCAGCCTGTTGTCTTGTACGAGTTACATGTAGACTTCCCCAGCGTGTCTGGTACGAGTACATGTAGACTACCCCAGCCTGTTGTCTTGTACGAGTACATGTAGACTACCCCAGCGTGTCTTGTACGAGTACATGTAGACTACCCCAGCGTGTCTGGTACGAGTACATGTAGACTACCCCAGCGTGTCTGGTACGAGTAACATGTAGACTACCCCAGCCTGTTGTCTGGTACGAGTACATGTAGACTACCCCAGCCCGTTGTCTTGTACGAGCACATGTAGACTACCCCAGCGTGTCTTGTACGAGTGACATGTAGACTACCCCAGCGTGTCTTGTACGAGTGACATGTAGACTACCCCAGCCTGTTGTCTGGTACGAGTACATGTAGACTACCCCAGCCTGTTGTCTTGTACGAGTACATGTAGACTACCCCAGCGTGTCTGGTACGAGTAACATGTAGACTACCCCAGCGTGTCTGGTACGAGTACATGTAGACTACCCCAGCGTGTCTTGTATGAGTACATGTAGACTACCCCAGCGTGTCTTGCTTCTGTATCGCCTGCTCCTTCTTCCTCGTTCAACTTGGTGCATGTTCACCTGCACCTTCCTCCATTTCTCTACCAAAGACACAGACAGCTCGAGCTTGACGGCGAGACGTGCGGAGTGTGAGGAGGAGAGGAGGGAGAGGAGGGAGCGGAGGCGGGGGAGAGGAGGCGGGGGAGAGGGGACATAAGGAGAAACGAAGGCAGGCAAGCAGGCAGGGATTCAGGCGAGAGGCAGGAGCATAGGGGTACGAGGAGAAGAACATGGGGCTGAGTGATCATTGTCTTACCTAAGTTGAACGGGCTAGTAAGAGCCAACACACATAGGAACAGGTGGAATATATTAAAACCACCATGCTGCTCCTTCTCTTCCTCCCCCTCAAGGGCAACATTCCCGGTAAAGGATGATGTGCCTGTTACACTCAATGTAGTTCCTACGCTCAGTGCTGCTGAACAAGTAACTGCTCCGGTTAATGTTGATGTGCCCGTTATACTAAGATTATTTGCGCAATTGATATTTGCAGCAAAATCAACATCCACAGGTATGTTTTTGAAGAATTGATTGGTGCCATATGGATATATCTTTATTACCTCTCTTTCTTTTACAAGAGCACCATATCCAGACATACCAGTTGCTGAAAATCCTTGATATTCATTTGCTTTATCTCCTCCAAGTATTGATATAGAAGCATAAGTTGCTCCCTTTGTTATTGTTTCAGTTGCTGAACCACTCGCCCACGTTGATGAAGTGTGAACATGAAAAGCTAAGTTTGTTTTCCTATTTGTTCTTTCATCTGATGGTGTGCCTAAAATGTTTTGAATAACCAAGGATTTGCTTTCAATCCACGTATTATTGTTTGCTTCATCAAGAGCAACATCAATATTATTTTTGTACTTCCATCTATTATTGACATCGTCATAAATGCCCCATTCATTATTGCCATCATGCGTAAATACAACCCTGCCATCAATGCTGTACCCCTGCCAACTATTTACACCAGAGCCATTGATTTGAACACTGCCATATTGACCTGAGACAGTCGATAAATAGTTTGTATCGTTGATGTATAGATCCCCAACTCCAATGTTCAACCCATCAATATATTCCTTGGTGTAATAGTTCTCGTTAGAGGTGTCAATCTCGGTCTTGGTGTAATAATTGGGTAACGTGACATCATCAAGAAACAATGTATTACCTTTGAAGATTGTTTTGTAGTCTCTCAAAACATTGATCATCTCAATAATACCACCAGAGGTTTCGCTTTCCTGTAGTGTAAAACCAAACACATATTCATCTAATTCTGTTTGTGTCAGTTCATTCCCTAGTGTTAAGATCTCCTCGCCTTGGAATGATATAAGCCTGCTATCTAATTCAGTCGTTGTGTTTCCTTCAACATCGATCTTATATGTGCTATCATATACATATGCTTCGCCAGCAGCTAGATTGAGTTGTGATCCATCTGTTGTGTTGCGTGAATATATCTTGATTGCTCTGTCTTGATGAAGTCTATGTATTATCTCTGTCTCTAACAGATTTATAACAGTGCCAATAGCAAGCCGTAAAACATTAATCCAGTTCAATAAAAACAGACCATCGGCCTTGCTTGTATTCAAGGATGAAGCTATAAGACCTCCAACAAAACCAGCACCAGCGGAAGCAAAGTCGCCAAGACCAGAGAAGATGTCAAATGCGTCATTTGCTGTATCAACTATGTCCCCAAGATTGGCTTCATCATCTGGATTTGATATGCTGTTAACACTATTTACCAGACCATTGATGCTATCTATGATGTCCTGAATAGTGATATATGAGCCATCTTGCTTTCTTAAACTGATTGTGTAAGTAGCCGCTTGATCATCATAGAGCAATTGGATCAGATCGGAGTCATTGTTGAACAGTGCTGTCAATGTTTGATTGTTGGCATTCTCAGCTAGGTTTATGATAGATTGTAAGGTAGATATTGCGTTGGAGTTGTTTTCAACATCACTTGATAAATCTGTTATTGTTGATTGTAAGGTGTCAATGCTCGTGGTGTTGGCATCAACACTTGTTTGTAGGGTGTCAATGCTCGTAGTGTTGGCTTCAATGCTCGTTGCGTTGGCTTGAATGTTCGCTGCGTTGGCTTCAATGCTCGTTGCGTTGGCTTCAATGCTCGTTGCGTTGGCTTGGATATCATCTGTGTTTGTACTAACAACACCCTCCAATGCTTTATGTGCCTCATCTAATTTGATGATAGCTGTTTTAAGGGAACTGATCTGATATTGAACTGTATCAACAGACAAGCCACTGATCCAGGTGCTCATTTTAATTAGAATGTAGATTTAATTAAAAATCAGATAGACAGTTTCCTTTCTTATGCCAATTTTAGCTCGCTTCTTTCTATAAGTGTTGGTAAAGCTCGATTGCTCATAATAGCTGATTTGCTCCCTAGTTAGAAGATTGTTTTTAATGAAGAAATCTAGGACATATTCGTTCCTGAATATAGATTCAACAAGGTCCTTAATGAATGTATTGTATTGCTTCTGCTTCATACGATACAGATACTGGGCTTCATTCATTTATACAATATCAATAAAATAATCTGAGTGGGGGTTCCGCTGGGGGCGGCGGTGGGAAGATAGAGAGAATGAATAAATACTCTATTGAATACCTGATGTGATGTAAGAGAGATGAATAAGATCTTATAGATCATGTTATAGTACATAGAAGACTAGAAGATAAGGGGGATATATTAATATTTCAAATATTTCTTATAGAAAATAGAAGTTAGTTTAGAGAAGATAGAGAGAATGAATAAATACTCTATTGAATACCTGATGTGATGTAAGAGAGATTTATGAATAATTATTAGAGGAATCTTTGTGATAGTTGGGGATAGGGGTGTAGTTGGCGGGGACGCGGGGACGTTATCCTAAACTTTTGCATATGGCGAGGAGGGGTTGGATAAAGAGATATAGAAAACTTTAGGATAACGTCCCCGCGTCCCCGCCAACATCCATGATCATCATCTAGTACATAAGAAGACTAAATATAATTTGGCGGGGTGGCGTTGGGGTTTGTGGAGGGTTTGTGATTGTGTGGAGGGTTGCTATGTGATGACTGACAAAGGATCCCTTGCTCTGTGTGCTGCGCACACCGCCCAGCTGCGCAGGGCTTAGCTCCGACCCTCATTAGAGAGCAAAAAGCCTTATGAGAATGGTAAGGAGAATGAACAATGTTTTTTAAACATTCAACTGCCAGCTAAGTTGGGTGTTGAATAACTTTATTCGGTGGTGCCCAAAGAGCACACCTCACAAAACAGCCTGTTAGGATGTGATTGCTTTCAAAGCAATTGAGAAGGGATTGATGCTCTTGTGTGCTAGCGCACACACGCCAGCGCTATCGCGCTTGGCTAGCCCCACGACCGACCCTGGTAGCATCCAATGATGGTCATTGACGCACGAGAGACACAGGTAGCCTCCAACGAGGATCAGAGACGCTCCATCTCCCCCTGAGCAGGATTCCTCTCCATCTCCCCAATTGTTCAGATTGGTCACGAAGAAGTACCCTGGGTACTTGGTCAGCATCCCTCGTGACCGATTTTGACAAAAAGAAGGTTATTTGTCACACGGGTGGTCATATACGTCATATACACTTTACCGCATGCGGGGTCAGGAGCATGGAGATCAGCCGGGAGCGAACGTCGTCGCTGATGTTCTCCCCGTTGCTGTCCGACTAGCAGGAGGGTCAGGTGAGGGCAGGGAGGTGGCAGGAGGGCAGTGGAGCACCTGACCGAGAACCTTGAGCGCCCTCCCGATCGCTTCGACCGCCATCTCCGTCCTGAGAAGAAAGTGAGCGAGGAGGAGGAGGAGGAGGAGTTGCAGTCAGCGAGGAGGAGGAGGAGGAGGAGGAGGAGGAGGAGGAGGAGGAGGAGGAGGAGGAGGAAGAGGAGCAGCAGCAGCAGCAGCAGCAGTCAGCGAGGAGGAGGAGGAGGAGGAGGAGGTGGTGGTGGTGGCGGTGGAAAGAGGAGAGCCAGGGAGAGAGAATGGGGGAGGATGAGGAAGAGGAGCAAGGAAAGATAAGGGGTGGGTAAGGGGGGGGGGCAAGGAGCAGTGGCAAGAAGGGAGGGAGAAGGGAGGGAGAGTGGGAGGAGGAGAGGGAGGAGGAGAATGATGTGGTGGAGAGGGAGGTGGAGGAGGTGGATAAACGCGAGGCAGTAGAATGAAAGCGGATCAAAAGCAGGAAGCGACTCACTTGGACGCGCTCTTGGGGCGAGAGGACCCGCCAGCACTTCGCGGGGCTGAAGAAAGAGATGAAGAGATGAGAAGATAGAAAAAGAGCGAAAAGTACGATGATGCGAACGAAAGAGGAGGAGGAAGCAGAAGGAGGAGGAGCAGGAAGGAGGAGAGAGATAAGGAGTAGCAGGGAGGAGAGAGGGAGAGAGGGAGGAGGAGAAGCAGGAAGGGAGAGAGGGAGGGAGAGGAGCAGGAAGGCAGAGAGAGGGAGGAGGGGGAGAAGGAGGAGCAGGAAGGGAGAGAGGGAGGGAGGAGGAGGAGGAGGAGCATAGGGATGGTGATGGGGGTCGAGAGGCAGACCTGCGTTGCCTGTCTGTCTGTCCTGCAGGGAGAAGAGCTCTGAAGGAAGCAAGCTGCTCCTGTTGGCTGAGACATCTGGCGTGGGAAGGGGATGAGGGGTCCGGCTCGTCTCTGCGTCTCTTGCTGCAGGAGAGGGTCAGCAGCGACCGACGGCTGATCGGCTGCGGGAGAAGAAGCGGGAGGGAGGTGAGAGAAGCAATACAATGATGAGACGCCAAGCGAAGAAGGTGAGGGTGAGAACAGAAGGAAGTTGAGGATGATGATGATGACGATGACGACGACGACGACGACGATGGTGATGGTGATGGTGATGGTGATGATGATGATGACGACGACGACGACGACGATGGAGATGGAGATGGAGATGGAGATGATGATGATGGTGATGGTGATGATGATGATGATGATGATGATGATGATGATGATGATGGTTGTGGTGGTGAAAATCTGTGACAAGAGAGCAACAGCGTTTCACCTGTCCAGGTCACAACCTGAGATGCCTCCTTGTGCTCTAGCAAGGCTTGCAGCCTGTCGACAAGTCACGTACCCTCAAGCTCTCACTCTCTTCCTCCTCCTCCCACCTGCGAACTTTGTTCGCCGTCACCGGTGCCATGCTGTCAAGATGAGAGCCTGTGATGTGAAGCAGATCCTCCACCTGATCCGAGTAAACACACTCCTCCTCCTCCTCCTCCCTCCTCCTCGTCGTCCTCGTCCTCCCCATCCTCGTCCTCGTCCTCTCCCTCTCCCTCTCCCTGTCAGACCTTCCGCACTCCCATGCCCTTCAGCACGTCGTAATCCATCCACAAGTCGTTCTCCTCCAGCAGCTCCACCAGCTCGAGGGTGGATGTTCGCGCCTGCGCGGAGGTGAGGGACAGCTGGGATGGGAGCTCAGGACAAGCGATCGACCTTGCTCGATGCGGTTGGCAAGGAGTGACCGACACACTGCTGAGAGAGGTCAAGAGAAGGAGGAGGAGGAGGAGGAGGAGGAGGAGGAGGAGGAGGAGGAGGAGGAGGAGGAGGAGGAGGAGGAGGAGGAAGGAGGAGGAGGAGGAGGAGGAGGGAAGGGCTGGCGGTAGGGGCTGAGGGTGAGAGGGGAGGACTTGAATGATGACCTTGTTGACAAGAGTGCAGTAGGCGATCTGAAGCTGCGAGTGTTGCGTCTGAACAGTCACAAGCAGTTGCTGGTGGGCAGAAGAGTCAGCGGAGGTGAAGAGGCGGAGGTGAGAGGGAGAGGAGTTGGGGGAGATGAAAAAGTGGGAGGAGGGAGAGATGAGGAAGAGGAGGAGGACGAGGGGTGTGAAGGATAGCTGCTCCTCCCTCCTACCATGATCTCTCGCTCTCTCCCGCACGCATCTTCAAGCTTCTTCTCCGTCTCCGTGCATCTTCGCTGAGTGAGCTCAGGGAGCAGAGGAGGGAGGAGGAGGCACCGGATGCAAGTCGTGACGACGTTGGTGATGTTGTCAAGGAGGTCCAGCTTGGAGTCATGACTCCTCGAGTCTGCGTTGAGAACCATCTTGTTCTTCTCCTCCAGGTCCTTCCGTACCCCTGCCACCCCCCATCACTCCTCCCGATGACCCCCCTCCCATCCTCATTCCTATCCTCCCCCTCGCCATCCTCATTCCCTTCCTCCCCTCCCTTCCTTTCTCCACCTCCTCACCTACCTCCTCCCTCCCTCTCCCTCACCACCTCTCTTCCTCTCTCCTCTTCTCTCTTCTCTCTCCTCTCTACTCTCCTCCCGCAACTCACTTGCTTTCTGTACATTCTCCGAGTCTTTCATCTCTTTCATATGTCGAACCTATCAGGATGATCAGTCAACGATGCAACCATCGCATTGAGATCGCTCAGAAGCATCGAGGCTTTGAATGTTGATATGAGAGTGAGATTGACAAGCAAGCGATGTTGACAAGGACTTGTCAACCAAGAGGCATGACGGGAGCTTCACAACTCATCCGCAAGCTTCTGAATCATCACCTCCGCATCTCGACGAGCTTGTTTCAGCTCCGACACTTCCTGCTCTTTCTGCTTGTTCGACAGGACGTGAAGGTCGAGATCAGCCTGCAGCTTCTTCTTCTCCTCTTCCAACCTGCCGACATGATCAGCGGAGCAGCAGCAACCTTGTGTGCGACTACTTGTCTGCCTTGTCTTGCATCACCGTGAGCTGTGGGACTGTCAGGAGCGCGCAAGCGTCAGTCTCGCAGCTTCACCTCTGCTCGCAAGTTGTTGATCTCTTCCATCATCTTGTTCGATTCTTGCAAACTGAAACCGAGGGATGAGAGTTGTAGTGTACGATGATGAAGAAAACGAGAAATGAGCGATGGATGGAGAAGAGGAGTAGAAAGCAGCGATGAAGACAAGACATGAATGGAGGTGTGAGGGATAGCGAATGCAGGAAGTGAAGGAGGAGGAGAAGGAGATGGGGGAGGAGGATGGAGAGGAGCAGTGAGATTAAGACCTGTTGTCGGATGGCTGTAGCTTCTCTCTCGAGTTTGACCTGCCGTTGACAACTCTCAAGAGCAGCAGGGGAAGGAGGAGAACGAAATGACAGGAGGCAAGTATGTGATGCAGTTGAGCTGATCAAGCACAAGGAAGACAGGCGGGAGCTAGTGGCGTTTGTAAAGGAGGAAGAGAAGAGGAGGGAGCAGCAGGAGCAAGAGTAAGAGCGTTGAAGGTGGAGGGGGAGGGCGGCGGCGGCGGCGGCGGCGGCAGCAGCAGCAGGAAGAGGGAGGCGGAGAAAGGTCAACATGACTAGTCACCTTCTGAGAGAACCTTCCGCGCGTCCATCGGGACTTGATCTTCTTGAAGATTTCTTCATCTCCATCGTCTTCTGAATCTTCTCAACGATAGCGCCTGAGATGTCTTGAGATGCGCGAGCAGCAAGGAAGAAGACAAGTAGGGGTGAGAAGGAGGAGGAGGAGGAGGAGGAGGAGGAGGAGGAGGAGGAGGAGGAGGAGGAGGAGGAGGAGGAGGAGGAGGAGGAGGAGGAGGAGGAGGAGGAGGAGGAGGAGCGAGGTGAGTAGCGAAGG